GTGTTACTGACACGTCCAGACTCTGAAAAGCCTCTTGTTAACAACAGCTGTAAAGTGAGCTTGTTCTATTCTATTGCTCTTTCTCGAGATTAATCTCTCTCTCTTTCTCTTGCTTTCATTGCTGTTATTCTTACTGTCTCGTTGTTTCTCTTGTGCATGGGGGAGGATCCCGAATTAATTAAAAGAAAAAGACTTTGAAGTTGGTTACTTAGCCTCAGGGCTTTCTGTTCCATTTTTGTTGTGGTGGCAGTTAAGATTTTTTGTTGTTACATTGTTGTAACGACCCAGAGACTCAGCTACTGGACATTGTCATTAATTAGGCAGTGATGCAGTGCAGCATTCAAACCTTGTGGATATTTTTTTTCCCCTATAAGCACATCGTAATGTTTGATATGTGAGAACACTTGTGCCCTCTTACTGTTTCTGACCTCTTTTTATGATAACATTGTTGAACTTGAGTTTGACCTCCGATAAAAGTCCTTTAATGTTTCTATAGCAAAGCAACAATGAGCTCAGCCAATGCCTCAGGTAAGGGAGTAACCCATTACGCTCTAATTGGATTACAGTAATAAGATTTCAGAAATTGCCAACTGTCAATTTGTCACACTTACTGTCATAGTTATTACTGAAGCACAACACAGACACTTTTGCACACATTAGTGATTGGCCTGTTAGATTTCTCAGAAACATACGTATTCAGATTGTCACCTTATGGACATTTAAAATATTTTTATTTCTGTACTTTGTGATGCAATTCTCTGTAATTCCATGGCTTAGCAGGTGTGTGAATTGAACTACAGTTGCAGACTCTGTGAACAGTGATGGCTGGAGATTAAACTGTGACAGCAGTCTCAAACTTGAGTCGACTGTGTGTTCAGTAAACCCTCATCATAAGTCTCCAGTAAGAAAGGTATCGGTTTTCTTTCTCCCACAATCCCTCTCTCCGCTCTCTGTAGCTACTGTAATATAAATCTGTCCTTTTTTGGGAGCTGTCCTTATTTTGTTTCAAAGAGAAATGGGATCATCTATAGAGGAATGAGACCCAGGAGTCCCTCAGTACAATGAAGTCATATGAGGGGGTGGTGATCTAACCCAAGATGATGGGCTGTCAGCAGCTGCAGTTGTAACTGTGCCGAGACGGACAGAATAAGGACTGAGGTAGAGAGACACAGAGTGAGGGAGGAGACAGGGAAGAAAGTCAGGTTAGGGGGAGAGGAGACGTACTGTAAAAAAGAGAGAAAGGTAGGGAATGACAGATAGAGACAGATAACAAGGGAAAAGAAAGCCGCAGAAGAGACAGAAGCCTGAATTAGTGGGTAGGCCAGACTGGAGCTACTCTGCCAAGCTGCCCCTCTCAGCACGGGACTCATGCCTATTTCCATCCCATCAACCCCCTCCATCTCTGTCGCTCTCTCTCTGTTCACTCGCATGTCATGCCACGTCCAAAGCTGAATCAGTGAATGAATGATATTACCTTATGGTAATAACCTTGCCTACCCAAGCAAGCCCCACCATGAGCCTCAAGCAACTGGAATGCAATTCGTCACTCATTTCTGCTTGGCTTTTATTTTCTCCTCCTTCCGTTCTTCCTCTGTTTTCCCCTTCTCTTATTCTACCATTATTTCACTCCTCTGTACTGTCAATCTATATGCATATAACATTAAATTCCTACTTTCCATATCAGTAAATTAGGTGGATCAATAGATTCTGAAAATATAGCGCTGGTTGCTGGTAAATACACTCTTTTAAAATTTGAAATCAGTATGTCAAATTACAAAACATTATGATTATGATGCAATATGATTGCTATCTCTATGTATTTATATGTAGCTAGAAATACCTCATTTACAAAGGATTGATTGTGGTTATTTATTTATTTAAGTTACAGTGACTCTCTGTTTATATAGTTAGATTTCTTTAGATTGGACGTGCTGATATTTCGGAACTGATTTACACATTACCAGCTATGCTACTAGTCTTTAGTAGTTAGGACATGAAGTTTTAATGGTGCAACCTGCTCCGTATAATCCAGTTCAGTGTCATATACTATTGATAGCTCCAGTTCCAAACAAGCTCCTCTGATAATAACAGAATAAGCCATCGTATCATATTATAAAATTGTTATCCTGGTTTGTGTGTGACATTTAATTTTGCCACCCTCTGCATGTCATCCATCCAACACTTGCTGGCACCTTCGTCCACCCATCGCATCCTTTTCTACCTCCATTCTTCCCTCTACCCGTGTTTTTCTCCGCTGCCTCTTTCTATCTCTGAGTGGTTCTAGACGTCTTTGATGTCTGTTGTGTGTTTTAATGAGTTTGTTGTTGACGGTTCCTCTGCTTCCCCCTCTCTCTCTGCCACTCGTCCTGCCCGTTGGGCTGAAGCCACAGGAGGGTCAACACAAGTCAGGCTGCACCCTGTCTGCACACACACAATAGACACTTTTGTGTGGTCACTTCACTTTTAGAGGGGATCTAGGAAGTATTAGCAGATGTCATCTACATACACAGAGACGTGTGCATGTCTTTGACAGCATGCATGCTTAATGTGTAAAGGGTTATGCATATATGCAGGTACACCTACACACACAAAGACAGGCAGAAACACACACTCACATGCATGTATGTAGAGGACAGAGGATTTTGTTTCACTGCAGTCTCATGGGACGCAGCTGTGTTCTGATGTATTAATCATCTTCGTCTCCAGCTTGCTAATTAATGACCCATCTGTCCCCTCTCACTGATGTTCCACTCCAAACTCCCTCATACAAAAACACACTCACACAGCGCTGTGACACAACAACCAAATGCTCGTTCCAGTAAGTCCGGCACCAGTTTCAGGGAAACAATTATTAAAAGACACTGCGAGCCACACTGTCTCATGTGCATTCAACACCTTGCTTAGGACCATAAGAAGAGTGTTTGTGGCAACTTTATCAGGGGGGTGTTCTCCTTTTCCGTTACTTTAGGTGGCAGAATTGTGCGACCAGGCTTGTCTGTGTGTCCGTGTGTGTGTGTGTGCGTGCGTGTTTATGTGTGCACTTATGTGGGTGTATGTGTGTGTGTGTGTTTGTAGGCTTATCAGGTGAGCCCGGGCAGAGTGTCAGATGCGGTAATGGAGGCTTCAAAGACAAGCGCTGCGGTGAGTTCCCTGGCTGCCTTTTACCAACCCTCCCACCCGTCCTCCCCTACCCTCCCCCAAATCCCCGCTGCCTGGACGCAGACAGTGGCAGAGAGGCACATAGGTAGACACCTGGATGGATAAGGAAGGGATGCAGGCAGGGAGATAAGCAGGCAGATAAATAATTAAGTGAGTGCAAAGTCAAACAGACAACAGGCAGTGGATCAGGCTGAGCGACAGGCAGAGGAGATATTGGGAAGCAGGGAGGCTGCCTGACAGACAGAGAGGTACAGTCAGACAGTCAGAGTCGTGGCCAGGTGCTTGTCCAGCCCACCTCCCTTTCACTTGCATGAGTAGACCTACTTCAAACACCCGCCGCTTGTCTGCTGCTTTGTTCTGATGTTCTTGTTGCAGCTGTGGTTGTTGTTGTTGTTGTTGTTGTTGTTTTGATGCCCATCGTCGTCGCCGCCATCGTTGATTTGCTTCCTTTGAACGGCAGTTCTATTTCTGGTTGCCATTTGCTTGTTTCCATTTTCATCGTTTGTAGTGTATATGTGTCTGAGTTTATTTATGTGTGTGTCTGTTTTTTTTTCTTGCATTTGACAAACAGTCACAGTTAAGGGATAGTAATTGAGTGTTTGATCATTTACATTGCCAGTGGAGGTCCATCGGTTTAATTTTTCAGGGACATATGGTTGTTTCTGTGGCTTTAAAGTAAAGTATGATGAGGTCAGGCAGTTAAATTATCATATTACAGACAATATATTACCAAATAAAACTGCTACAGTACAAAAGCCTTTGTAGTAGTTAAAAGGCAACAAATAGTGATTAAAGAATGAATTTGTTTTCTTTCCAGCAGCAATAAATAGTATATTTAGTTTCAAATGCTAGTTTCAAGGTATTGGCATATCTGTGTAACCCCGATTTTTATTCAGCTAAAAAAATAATTTTAAGATCACAGTCAAAGTTCATTACAGATAATTTTTACAAAGAGCCTTTTAACACAGAAAACCTTGCAATGCTGTGCTTTGGTTTAAACAGTCAATGAGACTTTCTCTTTCCTTTTTGATTATTGCTGAATTCATTCTGATTTTATATAATAAAATAGATACACTTTAGATGTTTAGCACATTGTTTCACGACCACTGTGATAGAAACTCTCCATCCTGCATCATTTTTACCAGGACTATATCAACCTTTTCTTTCTCACAAACCTTCATAGCATTTGGACCCATGTACTGAAGTATTTTAAATGACTGGTCCCTTAATAACAGCAGTTTTACATTTGTAGTTTGTTTTGCATGGATTTCATATATCATAAAGGAACCCTCAGGCCACGATCAAAGGAAGAATGAACACTGTAGAGCATCAATATGGAACAACAGAAGGCAAAACAGTAATACAGTATCTTAATAGTGACCATTTATTTAGTATCACACATACAATGTTTCATTTCTGCGTTGTAGCTGACCCAAAAGCTTAGGACACAAACTTACAATTGCAGGTCTTGAACAATCCTTGTGCTTTTCAGTGTGAATGTTGATGACGGGGAACTCATATCACAGACGTCACCAAAAACGTTACGTTAAAGACATTATGTAACATCACATATGTTAGATTTTATTGATTGATATCTTCTTTATTTTTGGTTTAATGAAAAAACACAATTGCATTTGAAGAAACTGAAATAACCACTTATATTTTGGTTAGTGTCTGGTTAGCTGAGTGTTTCAAATTTAAATACACAGTAACGGTGGTGGTGCTTCTGAGTCAATGAACACTGGCAGTTATATATGCTAATGTTTGGTTTTGTGTCCTTGTTCCTGGTCTTCCTCCTCTGCCCTTTGTCCCTGCTCCTTCCTCCTTCTCCGCCCCAACAGCAAACCCTGGAGAACAACCTGACAAACCTGGTTAAGAGGAACAGTGAACTGGAGAATCAAATGGCCAAGCTGATCCAGATCTGTCAACAAGTGGAGGTATGTCTTTGTGTTGTTAGGCGAGTCTGAAAGTTAAAAGTATGTTGGATTCTCAATTGATTTCCACAGGGAAGTTGTCTTGTTTGTTGCATCACCTTGGCAGTCAGAGGTCAGGTTAGTTACAGGACGGTAAGCTGCTAGAGTTTCTTAATGAGGGGAACTTCAGCTGGGTGAAATTTGCACGAGAATGGAGCCCTGTGTGGTTGGTCGACATAACTCCCCCGCCACCTCACTAAAGCCACCCTGGATTTTAGTTAAAGCCGAAGGAGTCCCTCATCCAACACTATCAATGCATCAAGATTCAGAAGCAATCTCTTAAGAATCCAGGGTTTCACTTTTTGGTTCCAGGCCTATGGATAACTCACAACAAAGAAGGTTTTGAGGGTTAGGTTAAGGCCTGCATGAATTTCCTCGCTCTCACTCTCAGTCTGTCTCTGTTATTGATTGTATACAGCTTGCTGCCTTTGTTATTGGCGACTGGTCTGATGCAGCACTCCTAACACTTTGTCTCTCACTCTGGAACACAGCTGATGGAAGAAAAACAGTGACAGAAATTGGACCTTTGCTTTTCTGTAGTTTTTTTACCATCTCTTACTCTTCCTGGATCATGTTTGTGGTTGTGATAGCAATAAAAACAACATTTCAGTCCCCTCACTAGCTGTATTACATATTACATAACATGCTTCTACAACATGTTAACTGCCTCAAATAGGAACATACTGACACGCATTACACACCACGCCTCCAAAATCATTGGTCTCCCC